TTCCTCCCCCATAACAAACACTCTGTGAGGTGAGTGGGGCTGAGAGACTTCAAAGAAGTGTGACTAGCCCAAGGTCACCCAGCAGCTGCATGTGGAGGAGCGGAGACGCGAACCCAGTCACCAGATTACGAGTCTACTGCTCTCAACCACTACACCACACTGGCTAAGGGGGTCAATGTAAAAACAAAAACAAGCCCCCCCCCCAAGGTAATGGGCCCAGGATGCTTCTGCCCCACATCTGTAACATGAGCGCTGGGGAACGTTGCTCAGCCTCCCATCCCTAGTTAGAGATGTCCAGAGGAAGGCTGGCTCTCCTCTATTTGTTTGTGCCCCCCGCAGAGCGGCATGTCTTGTGGCGCACGAGCAAAACCTGGAAAACTAGAAACAGGCTCCACGGCTGAGTTCCCTTGCACACACATCGCAGGCATGTCATCTGTTTCACCTCTGCACCTCGGAGACCTCGGGAATACTCTCCTTTGAATAATATGCCTTAACCAGCTCTGGGAGTGTGGCAGCACCTCTCAGTGGCCAGGCTGGAGCCCAATGCCACTGGATGCTTCCCTCCTGGCAGAGCAGAATCCATCCACGGCCAGACACCTGTAGCTGCGAGGAGGAAGAGGAAGCAGGGCAAGGCGGCTTCCTCCAGCAGCTGGCATCCATTCCCCCGCTTCAAAATCAAATGATCGTAACAAATAAATAGATAAGCCTTCCTGATGCCGAAGCACGTCCCATGTGGACCTCCTCCCATCTCACTGCTCTGTATTTAGATTATGTGCAGTTTAAAATCAGTACTGGAGGCGATGCGTGATTTTGCCAGCTGGGCTTTTTTAACCCCCCCTAAAAAATCTATAAAAATTATAAACAAGCAAACAGATGAATAAGCAAGCACGGACAAGACGAAGGAGCCCAGGGGGGCCGACAGAACGATTAGCCAAGGGGCAGGTTCAGATCGGAGGGGGCTTCCTCCTCCTCCTCTGAACCACAATGTTCCTTCAGGAGGGTCTACCTCTGTCCAGCCTCTTCCCTCCCCTCCTCTTGCCCAGCTCCCTTTCATCTCCTCTCCCGCCCTCCCTGTTCCATAATCAAACTCCCTGCGCTCACTGAAGAAGAGCCTCCCGCGGCTCCGGCTCGTGGGGGCCCAGCCACAGCTGTACTTCCCAATTCAGGCAGCATTCAATCGCCTGACAGGGGATGTCATTTCCCTGCCTGTCGTGGCAGATGGGATTGGTGGAGAGGGGCTCTGCGCCCGGTTACATTAGGCAGACGAGGGCCACCGCCAGGATGCAAGCGCTGCTCGGAGCTTTGAAGAGCTGCCGTTGGAAATCCCAATGGGTTACTGTGGAAACACACCGGAGGAATGGGGATGGGGGGGCGCTAAGGGGGCGGGGTGAGGGGGGAGACAGAACTCACGAGATGCGGCTACTGCCCACAATGACCTTTGAGGGGTTCTAATGCCACAGGGCGAGGTCCAGAAATAGAAGAATTCTTTTTTTTGGGGGGGGGGCGCTCTGGTCTCCTAGCTCAGCTTATACAAGGTGCAACATATTATTATTCTTTTATTTAAAAGACCCAAACGCATGGCTCGGAAGGATGCTAACGACGAGGAAATCACAAGTGTTTGCTTGGCCAGCGCTACACCAAGGCAACTGGCCTGATCCAGATAAGGAGATGATAAGGTGCATGGAAAGAGGCGCTGGCTCCTACTGCCTGCTGGATCAGGAACTGAGAGGATGCACAGCCAAAGGCAGCCTGCACACACTCCCCATCCACACACCCTGGTCTAGCGCAGCTGGTCACATGCAGATTCAGCCATTTTTATGCCAGGACGGAATCACAGCATTGGACTTTTGCAAAATAAGGAATCGTTGGAAATGTCTGCAAATGGCAGCGGGCAACGCTGGAGGGGAGAGTGGGAGGAAGAGGATGGAGGGCAGGAGGAGAGCTCAAGGGCCTTCCTCCAAGGTTGGCAGAAGGTAGCCCAGATCAGCAAATAGATCGGTTCCTCCTCTACCCCTTGGCAGAGAGGAGGGAAGCTGGGTTGAGAGGACAATAGCAGCTGGGAAGGTGGGAATTCTCAACTCTAAGGTTCCCAAAACGTTGCAGCTGCCCCCCACCTGGATGCTACCCTTCTTACGAGGCCTGTGTGTATTCTGCAATACTTGGGATCACACCACAAAAATGAAGAAGGAAAAAGAATAGAGATGAAACGCTGCAATCTGAGCAATCAGCTTCCTTTCTTTCAGCAAAGGTATGTTTGAAAGAGTGAGAAATCTCACAAGCCAACTCGGGGCTGAGGGGAACTTCTTGTGGTTGTGAGAGCAAGGTGCGGGGAGCTCATTTGACAGTCTGATGAGCTCCTCCCCAGAGCTAGCAAAGCCCTTCAAAATAATAAGCCACCATAGGCAACTGCATTATTTACACTGCAGTTTTGTGATGCCTCTGAGGAGCAGTGAGTGCACACAGCTGTCCCCGAGGATGGAGCCCACACGCAACACTTAAAAGATCCGGCTCCAGCGGCAAAAAGCCTCATCACGGGCGCCAAACGTTCCTGAGGTGGCGGATCAAAGGGGCACTCGGCCTACTCAGCAGCGGCTGAGGATCTGGGACCGGTACACCTGAAAGGGAAACAACTTTTTGTGGAATTACCAGGAGGCTCCTCAGGGATGAGCGGCTCTGGGGGCGTTTCACTCGGCTGCTGCACTGGCACAGGGGCTGTACGGCTGCTGGTCTTCTTCCCTTTCTTTTCGCCAGGCGTGCCACGCCGCTTGGCACTCATCTTTCACCACGGGATCCTGTAAAAAGTCATAAACACCATGAAGAAAGGCAAGGCACGCAAGCCAGAAAGAATGGCTCTTTGGTTGGAGTCATCACCGTTGTTCTTTGCACCCTCCCCTCTCTCTCTACCACTTCCTCTGCCCTCCTTTAATGTGGCCCCCAGTGTGTCTCAGGGGCCAGGACCTGGGTTCAAGTCCCTACTCAGTCATGAAGCTCAGAGGGCTTTCACCAACCCACACATGTGAATGTGATCAGCATCAATCCCCTTGACAATCCTCCAGCCAGCACCCAGCACTAATTGTCACCAGTCCCCCTTTATTTTATTACAGTTATGTTATGCTGTTATTATTAATTACCTGCCTTTCACTCTAAGGTCCCAGGGCGACTTATGACATCACCACACAACATAAAAAAGCAGCTTAAAACAACTTACAATCACAAAAACAAGGTGGGTCCTAAACATCGACACCTTCAGTATCAAAGGCAAGGGTAACTGCCCTTTGAAGGGCAGTATACAAATTTAATAAATACATTAATAATAATAATAAAAATAATAATAATAGGGGTATCAAATGAATGAATTTATTATTTTGGTCATAGACCAGTTGCAGCTCACATACAAATTCAGGGAAGTCATGAAATAGGGATACATTTAAATTTGCAGTTCTGTATAACAGGGACAGTATAGATATAGCAGCAATTATAATATATAAATTAGATCTTACTCACTAAAACATAACCCAAAGTTGTCATTTAAAACCTTAATCATGATGATATCACAGCTTGTTCCCTAAATTTTATGGCAACCGCACAGAATTTGGCCACCTTTAACGTGATCTCTGGATCTTTGTCCTCCGCATTTGCCAGGAGATAGATATATCATCCCTCTTCTCCAAGCTTGGAGCAGCAGACAAGGCTTCCTGCCCCCTGTCCCCCACTTTATCAACACAAAAATCCTGGGAGGTAGACTGAGAAATGGCAGTAGCCAAGTGAAGGTTGATTCCCCTAATTTTTAATTGATTTTATCTGGTTTTATTTTATATTGTTAAGACCTTTTTTTCTATAAAGCGACTTAAGAAATGTAAAAAAAAATAACAATAGGGAAAGTTATGTTATAAGAATTCTAAGGCCTCAAATACAGAATGTTCATAAATGTACAAGGCAAACACACATACAGTATGTAAGTACATAAACCACATGTCTGAAATAGTACAGGAGAGCAATCCCGAAGCCATTTTGACTCTCTCAAATTGACCTCAAATATTTCTCTGCAAGGAGGAAGGAAATGGGAATAGCTTTCCAATGGTCTTTGGGCTGTAGGGGCTTACACCTCCCTGTAAATACAGCCTGGCAAGTATCTGTTAAGCTGAGCAAACTATCAATATGTGTAAGAGATTCAGGAACTAAAAGTATTTACTATCTCAAAGGAATGGCCAGGCTACCCAGAAAAGGCAATCAAGTAAGGCAGGATCAGGTATCCTGGCAGACAGGAGAGATGCAACCCTCTCAAATTTCTGCTGGAGACCGCTTCCTTCTGTGATGTAGGTATGATTTTTTGGGGGGTGGTGGTCTTGGGGTACAGGATGGGCAATTTCAAAAGTCTTTATAGGGGCTTGCACACCATTGTTCTCTCCTGCCTCCTTGCAAGGAGGGGAGGGAGCTCTGTTGCCACAGAAAAATAAGGATCTGCCTTGCTTTCTATGGATCTTGCCTCCATCCATTCATCTCTGACCGATCATGGACTTAGGGGACTCAGAGTCCCTTGGGGAATTGGGCAGCAAAAGCCAAACCCACTATTTTTTTCTATTTACAGGTAGGTAGCCATGTAAGGGACGCGGGTGGCGCTGTGGGTTAAACCACAGAGCCTAGGGCTTGCCAATCAGAAGGTTGGCGGTTTGAATCCCTGCAAGGGTGAGCTCCTGTTGTTCGGTCCTTGCTCCTGCCAACCTAGCAGTTCGAAAGCACGTCAAAGTGCAAGTAGATAAATAAGTACCGCTCCGGCGGGAAGGTAAACGGCGTTTCCGTGCGCTGCTCTGGTTCGCCAGAAGCGGCTTAGTCCTGCTGGCCACATGACCCGGAAGCTGTACACCGGCTCCCTCGGCCAGTAAAGCGAGATGAGCGCCGCAACCCCAGAGTCGGCCACGACTGGACCTAATGGTCAGGGGTCCCTTTACCTTTACCTAGCCGTGTTGGTCTGCCGCAGTCGAAACAAACAAACAAAATTCCTTCCAGTAGCACCTTACAGACCAACTACCAGTAAGAAACTCAGTTGGTCTTTAAGGTGCTACTGGAAGGAATTTTTTATTCAGAGTTGTTCTGCCTGGCCTTTGGCTTGGAGCCAATTTGATTCCCTCCCCCTCTTTCTTTTTCCTTTCTCCTCCTGTGATGAGGCTGCATTTTAACATTTTAATGTTTCAATATCTTAATGTGGTATTTTAATCTTGTTTTTAAGTTGTATTCATTCAATTTGTTTTTATTATTGCTTGTTAGCCGCCCTGAGCCCGGCCTTGGCTGGGGAGGGCGGAGTATAAATAAAAATTATTATTATTATTATTATTTTATTTTTTTCTATAACAGTCCTAACCTGAGTCACGATTCGAACCTGGGTCTCCCTGAGCCTAAGTGCAGCACCTTAACCACACTGGAACCCAATTGCCCCTTTCCAGCCACCGTCCCCTATTTCCCCCCCTGGCCCCCCACCAACTAGCCCCCCCTGCCCCATTTCCACATTGCGTCCGTCTCTCTGTCCCCCCCCCCCCCAATTCCTCCACAATACCCACCTTTCCCAGCTCCCAACTTGGCACCTGTTCCCCCCCTACAACTCCAAACGCTCTTGGTCCTTTCCCAGACTCCGCCCACCCCTCAACGTTTCCCCGGGCAACGGATCAACGGGGAAAGCTTAGGGGAGGAGCGCGAGCTCCGCGAGGCTACCAATGGGGCGGCGAGGGAGGGGCTCGCGGCCTAAAAGCAACCGTTGCGAGGGCGAGGGAGGGGCGCGCTCGCCTCGTAATTTATAATCGGAGGGGAGGCGGGACTTTGCTAAGCGGGGCGGGGCTGTGAGACCAGTGAGTGACATGAGGAGGAGGAGCGAAAGACAGCGTTCCTGCCTTGCGCGTGTCAGCTGGGAATGGGGAGGAGCCGGAGGGGCGGGGTGGTGGATTGACGATGTCAATCACCACACAGGCTCGAGGACACCAAAAGTGAGCGTTGTGGAGGGAAAAAGCTTGTCAATCACGTTCAGAGCGTCACCTAATTGGATAAGGTTTGAGCCCGGGGCGGGAGCGATGTGATAAGGCCCGCTTTTTTAAAAAAGCGTTGGACGATGTGAGAGACGTTTGTCCCTCATACGTCGAGATGCCAGCCCACTCAGAATATGTCTGAGGGAACTAATTCTTCCTTCATCGTTTATTTATCCCATGTTGGGTGGGTGGCGGGAAAGGAAAGGCTTCCACAGTGTCTTACAAGTGTCTGTGACAAAATAAAATTGCCAACTGTCAGAGTTGTTGTTGTTGTTTAGTCGTTTGGTTGTGTCCGCCTCTTTGTGACCCCCTGGACCAGAGCACGCCAGGCACTCCTGTCTTCCACTGCCTCCCGCAGTTTGGTCAAACTCATGCTGGTAGCTTCGAGAACAGTCCCACCATCTCGTCCTCTGCCGTCCCCTTCTCCTTGTGCCCTCCATCTTTCCCAGCATCAGGGTCTTTTCCAGGGAGTCTTCTCTTCTCATGAGGTGGCCAAAGTCTTGGAGCCTCAGCTTCACGATCTGTCCTTCCAGTGAGCACTCAGGGCTGATTTCCTTCAGAATGGAGAGGTTTGATCTTCTTGCAGTCCATGGGACTCTCAAGAGTCTCCTCCAGCACCAGAATTCAAAAGCATCAATTCTTCAGCGATCAGCCTTCTTTATGGTCCAGCTCTCACTTCCATACATCACTACTGGGAAAACCATGGCTTTAACTATACGGACCTTTGTTGGCAAGGTGATGTCTCTGCTTATTAAGATGCTGTCTAGGTTTGTCATTGCTTTTCTCCCAAGAAGCAGGCGTCTCTTAATTTCGTGACTGCTGTCACCATCTGCAGTGATCATGGAGCCCAAGAAAGTAAAATCTCTCACTGCCTCCATTTCTTCCCCTTCTATTTGCCAGGAGGTGATGGGACCAGTGGCCATGATCTTGTTTTTTTGATGTTGAGTAATAACTAATAAATTAATAAATAATCCAGCAGCTGCTGTCCTGCCTTAGCCACACTCCCAGCATGCATTGCGTTGGATCCTCCATAGTGTTGCTCTGCTAAGGCGTATCTGCTATTGCCAGAGCTGGAAGGCGACATGTCAGCCCTGACAACCAGTATGCGCCACCTGAGGAAAAAGTGATTTTTGCATCGTGTGTAGCGAGAAGGAAGCTGTCCTCAAATGAATATGCAGCGCTCTGGCCGCCCACAGTCCTTAATAGGCCCTTTCCATACCATTGGGCAAAGCGAGGTGGCAGGACTCAGTTCAAAGGCAGCAGCACATTGTTGGTTAGCTAACTCGTATTTTGACCACAGCAAATGCCATTCGGATCACCTGAATGAGACGCCAGGAAGTTTGGCAGCAGCTCAATTAAGTGCAACCCCTGCTGCGGTTTTTTGGCTTCCGATCAACATGCTCAAAATCTGAATGCTCAGGCGCAGGACCCTTTCATTGTGTGTGCTGTGCGAGCAAGACGGAATATGCTCAGTACCAAATGCAAAAATACAAAGATAAGGAGGCCTGTTTTCAACCAGGAGAAAATGCCCACAGGGATCAAGATGCCAGCCATTGTAACATCAAAATGGATTCAACATGAAAATGAACAAGATGGGTGTGTGTGGAGGTGACTCACATTGAGTCAATGCACCACTAAGCAAAGGTACAGCAGGATATATATTTCATGACCACAGATTGATACCAATACGAAAGAATCAATAATCACAATATTGCAGGATCACAATGCATGAGCAATAATATTCCCCCTCCCTCCACATTATTGTGGCCAACCATGGACGTACCTTTGCTTAGTGAAGGAATCCTCAACATAGTCCCCTCCAGATATCACTGGAGTCAAGCCTCCATTGCCCCTGACCATTGGCCATGATGGCTGCTGAGGATGATGGGAGTTGGAGTCCAACAATATTTGAAGGGTGCTACATCAAACATGAAACTCTCACACACAAGCAAAGGATCATCTTTGAGGAATGCTGCCAGTTGTAGAAGCTGGACTCTTGGCTAGCACCATTACCGTCAAGATTGCTAACACTGTTAGCCGATATTCTACTTAAAAGTTCTCAGGGTAGTGCACAAAGCCAAACACAAATAGCAATCTGACATTTTAACAAGACCACAATACAATAAAAGACGTAAAGTCGATAAAAATGCTATAGAACAGCTGGGCAAGATTGCAGCAGGACTGAAAGCAGCAATTCTTCCAAGCTACAAACTCGCAGCCACTTACACTCATCTAGAGTGGCCACTTATGCACGGCCCAAAAGAGGAAATGCATCACTGAAAAAAGAGGGCAGAAGAGGATACAGATTTGCAGATATGCTAATTGCTGTTTCTAGAATATGCAAATTTAGAAATAATCACTATAATTTAAATACAGATGCATCTTGCCGTAATAGGGAAGACGGTGACCAGGTGAGCTGTGCGCTTGCTGAGGCTGTCATGAGCCGTGTTATGCAAAGTGGCATCACATAGCCTGGTCATGGATGGGAGGCAATCAACACTAATGAGCAATTAAGTTTGCACTTTGTCTAAACTCTGAAGCCACGCAAGGGATCCACCTTGAGGAATGGTAGCTAGAGGCGGAAGCCGTGTGAATCAGAGGCCTCGTTCACACTTCCTTTTGCGCTGCGCTTTGCAGACATGGGTCTGTACTACTTTAAAGCTCCATGTCTTGAGCAGTTTCTTCGCCCCAGCGTTTTCCCTGGGAAAATATATGTTTTCCTGCCAAATTAGAGCAAACGGTAATCCACGACGACGTGGGTTTTCCCAGGGAAAGCGCTGGGACGAAAAAGAAATTGCTCAGACACAGAGGTTTAAAGAGCAAACCAGTGCCTGCAAAGGGCAGAGCAAAAGGGAGTCCGATGTGCCTGAGAGATAAGGAGACTGAGAGGAGACAGAACATTTTGGGATTTGGACTACAGCGGAGTTGCAGGGTTCATCTGGACTTAAACCTACTGTTTAACACTGAAAGAGAGCATGTCCACACTGTGTCTTGCCTCACTGTTCTTTAGCACTGTTCTATAGCTAAAGAGTTTGTTTTCCCTGGAAAAGGAGTTGAGCAAGGGGGAAACTGCTCGGCGTCGTGGTTTCTAGGCACAAGGCAGGCGTAAGTGTGGATGAGCCCAGAGCAAATGTCAGTTGGGTTTCCCACCGATTGGCATTTGCTCGGAAATCAGCGCAAAACAGCGGGTTTATCAGGGGTAATTTGGTAGGGGGAAATGGAAAACTGCTCAGATCCTTGCCTAGAAAACATGGGACAAGCAATAAACTGCTCAGACCCGTGTTTTCTAGGCACGGGATGAGCAAAAGTGTATTTAGAGAAAAGATAAAAGTGTGTATCTGAAGAAGTGTGCATGCACACAAAAGCTTATACCAAGAACAAACTTAGTTGGTCTCTAAGGTGCTACTGGACAATTTTTTTATTTCCTTATATATTTTGACTGTATCAGACCAACACGGCTACCTATCTAATGACAGAATGTGACTAGCATGGAGAAAGCATAGCTGTCAAGCGTCCCTTATTTGGCGGGACAGTCCCTTAACTCAGCGCCATGTCCCGCTGCTGTCCCTTATTGATGAGGCTTCGTTTGGCTGCTGGCTGGGCTTTCTGCCTTTGGCTCGGAGGGGCTCAGAAGTTGAACATACCTGTGCCCGGAAAATCCCTTATTTTGGCTGCTGATCCCTTATTTTCGAGGCTGCTGGTCCCTTATTTTCAAATCTGTAAGATGACAGCTATGGGAGAAAGTGGATAGAGGGAAGTTTTCCTCCCTCTCTTGTAACACTAGAACTCCTAGTCATGGGATGAAGCTGAATGTTGGAAGATTCCGGAAAGATGAAGGAAAGTCCTTCTTCACATGGCGCATAGTCAAAATATGGAACTTGCTCCTGCAGGAGGCAGCGATGGCCACACAATTGAATGATGCCCTAAACACCTCACTGTTTAGAGGAAACCCCAAAACACAGGAATTAAACCTATGCATACCACAACCTATACGGCCCTTTGTTGGCAAGGTGATGTCTCTACTTTTTAGGATGCTGTCTAGGTTTGTCATTGCT